CAGCACGATCACCGCACCCTCCAACAACATGCTGGCAACCGTACAGCGCACCATCCTCACTCTCAATATACACTAGCAAGGAACAGGTAAGGGAGCTGTCTCTTATACACATCTAGATGTGTATAAGAGACAGTATATATACAGGGTTGCCGGCGTTTGGGGCGGGCCGAACGCCCGAACCCGAACGCCCGAACGTTTGGGACCTCCTCTCGACGCGTTCAGACGTTCGACCGAACGTGTCGAGATGGGGTGTCGAACGTTCGAGCGTTTGGCCTGTCCAGAGCAACGAGAACCCTACATATATTAATTTTAAATGTTGTAAAGAATTTCAATATGATCCTGAGGCAAAAGTTGTTTAATTTTTTTTTTCTTCATACCATAATTATTTTTTTATTTTTATTTTTTTTTATTTTTTTTTACCTTTTCTGGTCTTTGCACACCCACACGGTTGGGGAAAATAGTGCGACCCGGTTGGTAACCTAGGTAATAAGAGAATAAAATCATAAATTTGTTTTTCATAGCAAAATCAAGTTTCATGACTGTAATTGAGGAATGGGAAGTCGAACAATAAACTAAACATGTTGCTGGTCAAAACACATAATAAAATAACGATACGTACGTAAAAGATATTAAACGTATTTTACAACTTAGCTTGACAGATTATGATATGACGATGAGGGATTGTTTTGATAACCCATAATACACCATTAAGGCTATCAAAACTGTTAAATGTTAATTTTCTAGGCTACCAGCCAGGAGGCCGCCCGGGTCCCGGGTGGCCAGCCTGTGGAAGAACCGGGGAAGGTCCCAAAAAAAAAAAAACTAAACAACTTTTGCCTTAGGGTCACATCAAAATTCTTCATCAAATTTGGAATAAAAAATAAAATTAAAACATAATATTTTTATATATTTATTTTCTAGGCTATCAGCCGGGCCGCTCGGGTCCCGGGTGGCCAGCCCGTGCAAGGARAWCCAAAAAAAAAAAAAAAAAAAAAAAAAAAAAAAAAAAAAAAAAAAACCCGAAAACAAACTACAGTATGCAGAAAAATAAATTGAATAACTTTTGCCTCAGGGTCACATCGAAATTCTTCACCAAAATTAAAATAAAAATTAAAAATTATTTTTTTATTTATTTTTTTGTCCGGCCGGGCAAGTGACCCCGGGCCACTCGGGTAGCCTAGTTTATTTTAAGTTTTTGTTGCCTGGCCAAGCAAGTGAACCCGGGCCACTTTGGTAGCCTAGTTCATTTGGCTAGTACAAAACTATATATGAAATATAAAATTAAATAATATTTTATAACTCATTTATATAATTAGTAACTAGGCTACGAGAGTGGCCCGGGACCACTTGCCCGGCGAGGCGAAAAAAAAATAAAAAAATAAAAAAGTAAAAATTATTTTTTTAACTTTAATTTTAATTTTAAATTTGGTAAAAAATATCGATGCGACCCTGAGGCAAACGTTAACATTTTTTTTTTCATATTTTTTTTATTATTATTTTTTTGCTATGACCTTCCCTGCTCCTTGTACGGCCGGACCGTTCAGGAAAATAGGGTGATCCGGACGCCCCGGCTGGTAGCGTAGATTATTAACCAATAAATTATTATTAATAAAGAATTATAATACATTTATAAATAAAATGCAAAAGAATCAATATTAATGAAAAATATATATAAACAAACTACTTATAGTGAAAAATATTTAAATATAGAGGTTCACATAAATCCGTATGTACAATTATTCAATTATAATATATAGAGATTCAAATGATTCCGTATGTAGAACGATTGAAAGTCACTAATGAAATATAAAAATTATCACACATCAAGTGTTAGTTATTTGTTTATTTTTAAACACAAGTAAAAAATTAATAAGTCATTATTTCTCTTCATATATTTCAAATTTATAACTCTCATCTACAACGTATATTACAAGCAATATTTTATATGATTTTCTTTATGTTTTATTTTAATATGTATCTCATTCAAATATTAAAAATAATACAAATATTAGAGAATTAGAAGAAGAAAAAAAATATTCATTAAAAAAAAAAATGGAGGCTGAAACTTTATTCGCTCTCCTTGTTTTTTAATTATCAACTAAGTTTTATTTTTCATACTTTTAATCAAGGCTGCCAGCCGGGTCGCTCGGGTCACCCTGTTTTCCTGGGCGCCCCCGACTGTATAAGGAACAGAGGAAGGTAAAAAAAAAAAAAAAAAAAAAAAAAACCTTCAAAAATTATGAAAACAAACTATGTTATGCAAACAATTAAACCAAACAACGTTTGCCTCAATGTCACATTAAAATTCTTTA